AGTGCTGCAATGCGGTAAACATCCTGCATAAAGCCACATCTATTCTGATTCACAGTGGTATTGAACAATGGTGATTAACATCAGGGAGTTGATTTCAATTATGTAATGGCCTTTTAGTTCAGTCCTATATCCTCATCAGATAGACTTGTGTAATTATAGTAAGCTAAAGGTTTGTTTCCCCTCTTATTCAAGTACAATCCTACAATTCCCATCAGTCAGTAGCACCTGGATTCATTCGTCAGAAGAGGATCTAAAAGCTACACACAACTAGGAAACTGCCCTCAAACTTCTTTTTCCTCTTCCTTCCGTTCCACTCTTACTAGGAGAGAGCTCCTGCTTCCCAGGACTGGCACTCCCAAGCACTGCTGCCAGGAAAAGAAACCTTACATATATTTTATATTCATATGCTACAGAGGGAGTTGGTTTCACAGCATTCCATTTTAGCCCTCTAAATTCACGTTACCCCCTTTCCCTATCGCTCGTCTTTCATGCACTGACCTTGGAGACACTTTACAGCAAGTTCACATGTGCAGAAATACTCTGCTTCCCCAAGAAGGCTATGCAGTTTAAGAAGTAAAACACATCAGGATTTAATATGGGAACTTGAAAAGCTGTTACCATGCAAGAGAACCATGCACTGCTATAAAACCGTTATCACAGAGAGATGTATCAGAAGCAGGTTGTCCAGGGGGAACATTTCAAGTTCATAGTGCTGAACTGTCCAAAACAAGTTAATGAGTGGTTGGTACAAGCTTTGAGCAAAGGTGTTTACTGTAAGACCCAAATCATTGTTCTCTGCTCTTGACCTGTCTGGACATGAAGCCAGTTCCTAGTACATTGAAGGCAGTGGAATTCTGCTACATTTTCATAAAATTAACCTAGTACCTGGGGAGAATACCTGGAGCTTTTTTGTTTTTTCATTTTATCATGTATAAGGAAAACTGCTTTCGAAGTAGAGGGTAACATTTTTTTGCTAGCACACACATGGAAGTCTAGCAGTCATAACTCCACTTTTAAATGCATTCAGGTGTCTGCACTCGTGACACAAAAGCAACAGAGGGTCACAGTTTGGCAGAACAACATCACACCAACTTGCATTTTTGGGACTTAAAATAGTACCTAAGGAAAATCATATTAACAAATAAAAATTATCTATTTTTTTAACTCTGAAGGATATACCCTTTTCTGGTTTTGAAACAATCGTTCCAGTTGAACCCTCAGCAGTCACTTCCAGGAGCCACCACTGCAGCTCCTCCCTTGCTGCCAGCAGGGCTGGAGTCCAGGGAAACCTTTAGCAGCTACTTACAGGAGCCATCACTGTGGCCCCTCCCTACTTCCAGACAAACCGCCCCCCC